GTGCGCGGGCGACCGGCAGCCCCACCCCTGCTCCGGGGAGATGGCAGCCTCATCCCTGCTCTCCAGAGGCGGTCCAGCCAGGAAAGACCTGTGCCAAACAGCTGTCAGAGTACACCCCTCTGCTCTGAGTGCAGATGCACCCCCTTTAGAGGAATAAAAACTGTCCACAGCACAGAGCAAGGGGCCTCCCAGGTCTCTCCCAACAAGTTGGTGAGCGAGGCTGAGGAAATGGCAGAAGCTTTAAGTACCAGGGTCAGGGGGAGGGAAACACGAGAAGAGTTTCAACCTTGGCCCACTTTGAGGGAATTCCAAAACAAAAACTATGCCTAGGCCCCGCCACAGGCATTGCTACAACAGGATCGGTAGCGTGCTTGCTACTTCTTGTCTCCCTTTTTCCCTCCCTCAGTCCCTCCTTCCTTCCATTTTGCCAAGTGAAGCCAGAGCCTCACAGCTTCCCCTCTGGCCTCCCCTGAGTACAGATTTAACATTCGTCATTTACAGTAAGCTTCCTTGCCGCTCTACAGAGTGCTGACGGGGGAGTTGGCAAAAATAAATAAATAAAAAGGTAAGTCCTCAAGAAACAAAACCAAGGACCCTCTTAGAATGCTGCCCTTTGCTACTACACACGTGCAGGAATCCCCAGAGCTGAGGAACTCCTCTGCCCAGCCTGCAGACTCGAACAGAGATGCTCATCACAGCACCGTTTACGATCACAGGGGGCCAGAACCTACGTCAGTGTACAGCTCCAGGGACATGTACAAGCCAAAGGCAGAACGAGGGACTCGCTCCCAGCCATGACAGAGCAACACAGATAGAGCCACACACATCTAGAAGACTGGGCAACAGGCACATGAGAAGTGTCTTTAGACAGTAGACACTTTTTTTTTTTCAATTTTGCTTTGGCTGTAAGCACCCACTGGAGAGAGACACAGAGAGAGAAAGAGGGAAAGTGAGAAAGCACTCCCCGGGGGAGACGGTCGCATTGTAATCTCTTCTCCATTCTCCTCTCGGAACTTTGGGCGCACACACGCACGCCCAGCATATTTTTCAAGCTGCCAGGCCTAGGACTCAAACCATGTACTCGGCCATGTGGGATCCAGTCACTTAAGCCACCACACAACTGGTTGGCCCAATACTGGACACTTTCTAGAATATTCCTCTAACAACTGAGAGCAGAGGAGACAATTAAAAAGCAAACAATATATGTAAATCCAACTTGAGTATGTTCATATAATAGAGCAGTAGGCATCCACAGGCCTCCCACTTACCATCGGTCCAGGTACCTATTTACATCCTTTGCACATGCGTGTGACATAAGCTGACTAGGAAGTGGCTGGGTGGGGCTGTGGCCAAGGAGAGGGGAGAAGTGTTCCTGACAAGCTGCATGGGCTGAGAGCAAAGGATGAGCAGGAACGGCCAGGTCCTAAGGTCCTGCCGCAACCCCGGAGAGTGCCCTGCAGGAACGGCCAGGTCCTAAGGTCCTGCCGCTGCCGCAACCCCGGAGAGTGCCCTAGAGGCTTCCAGGGGGAAGCTAGCAGCCCTGACGCTTCCAGCTGTGAAGCATGGGCCTGGGCGAGTGTGGCGGCAGAAGCCTCACAGGCCAGGTGCAGAACCAGGGCTGGGAGAGGCAGCCCTCCCTAAGGTGTGTGCAGAGCCCAGAGACTGGCTGGACAAGCTGGCTCAGATCTACTTTCAACCCAACAGAAACTGGAGCCAGCCTTTTTTGGGAGAGTTGGGCAATTTCAGAACTTGAGAACCAGGAGGGGTGAAAAGAAAAGGTGGAAGGGCCCCCAGAATGCCACCTCTCACCAGTCATGCTAACATGTCTGGATGGCTCTTAGGACAGTTGAGGGAGGGCCAGAGCCAACGATGTGTAGACCGAGGCGCAACAGCGACGTCCATGCCGCATCATTTCTTACCCACACCTCGACGTCCGCTGGGCCTCCCTGCCCTTGTGGGGAAGGTACTGCTGTGCCTTCTCCAGGGCTTAGCATCCAGGCTGAGACAGGCCCACACCACTGCTGCCCCATCCCCTGCTGCTCACCGAATGGCTGTGATGACCTTCAGGATGGCCTGGAGGAGGGTCAGAAGGCTGAGGCCGAAGGGCAGGAGGGAGGCCGGGGCACTGGCTCCCAGCCCGGGGCCCACTGGCTCCTCCTGGTGGAGGGCCTGGAGCTGCTGCCACTTGAGCAGGAGGTGCTTTTCACAGCAGACCCGCCAGCGGCTGTGCCAGGGGCGCAAGTCCAGCGGGGTTTCTAGGCAGAGAGAGCGCAAGGGCAGGTGAGGACAGGGCTTGGTCCAGGGTGTGGCTATACTTCCAGGAAAGAGGTCTGGCAAGACCCAGTCACAGCCCCAGAGCGGGACCTGTGTGGACCACATTAGACATGAGAAAGTACCACGTTTCGTATTTCCTGGCTGGCACCTGTGGTTCTCAGAGAGTTTGTCCTTCGGAAAGGCACACGGAAATGCTCATGGAAGATGCAATGCCCAGCTGGAGTGGCTTCAAAATCACCCTTTTGTTTTGGGAGGCAGGGGGAAGGATGAGGAGCAGATGAAACTAGATCGGGTAATGATGGGAGCTGAGTAATGGGAACATGGGGCTTATATTTAAACCAACCTCCCCTTCTGTATTTACATTTATCCATACTGCGAAGTTAGCAGGGCCAATTTGTGGTCTGGTGGTTAGGGCTGCAGGATCCCACGTGGCCAACCACACAGTTTGAGTCCTGGACCCGGTGGCTTGTAAAACACACAGGGACATGTGCATGTGTGCCCAAAATCCCAAAAGAAGGAGAAATGGAGAAGAGATTGCAGTGTGACCGTCCCCCATGAGGGTCTGTCGTGCTTCTTCTCTCTCCAGCGAGAGCACCCTCTAACAAAAAAAAAAAAAAAAAAAGGCAGTCAGCAACAGCCACCCACAACAGATTCCAGTGTCTCCACTTAACACATTTCAGTGTTTTCCAGACATGCTTGGTCAGCACGTGGAACTACATGATTAATGGCCTATTAATATAAAATATGTGTTTTAATTATATTAATAAAAAAATACTACTATTATAAAATACAGTATTTTCTTTATAAAAATTCTATCAAGAAAACGGAGAGGAAAAGCATGGGCGACCTCTCTTGATAAGGAATATGTAACATCAGAAATAGAGTTTTCCTTGTAAAATGGAAATCAGCTGGATATGAGGCCAAAGAAAGCGTATCTCATTTTCACATCCCTCTGCACCTGAGCCTGAGCACAGCCTAGTCACGGCTGTCCAGGAACAAGGAGCCTGCTCTCCTAACTCTGCCCTCTGCTAATCTCCGTCTTCAGCAGGTCTGAGGCCCGAAACATGCCCGAAAGTTGCCTGCACTCTACAGCAATGCTTAGAGCAAAATTAGCACTGGCTTTTAAAACCTAGCCTTGTCTTAGCCTTATGCACATGATTCACCAATAAACTGAGCATCGAGCTTTTCTTAAAGATGCCAAGTCTCCCCAGCCGTAAATAATCAGTAAGAATAAGCCCCAGATGGGTGACCACATGGTTGCAAGGGCGGTGTCTCCTGTGGTCCTCCTCCTACCACCAAGGTTTTGTTAATGATGTAGTTCGGGCCTTGCCCACACTGGGCCCACGTGTAGCTTAGAAACCTGCCTGGAGGGAAAGTGTGGGTTCTCCCTGCGAGGTCCTGTCCTACCTCTGCCCCCCTGGCCCCATCGGGCGCGTAGGGTACCCGTGACGCACACCTCCATCCACACCTGACCAGGGCTCTGGCCTTTTACATTCTCACTGGCCGAGTCCTGGCATACGGGCTTCACAGCGACTGGTTTTTCACGGTGATATTCCAGGTTCTTTCCGAGTCCTGTCAACTGGGTCCATGTCACTGTCCTCACAGCCGTGTCCCTGGGAGCAAGTGTCACACTCCTCAGCCCGTGCTGGGGTCCATTCTACTGAAAGGTGCTCCAGGGGCTCTGACCCTTGGCTAGAAATCTCACCGCTGCTGCAGGCATTGCATGGTCTCCACAGGCTGTTCCCTAGACATGCTTGTGGAGGTGATGCACATCTCGAAGCCTGCCTATACTGCCAAACTGCCCTGCCGAGGTGTGCCAACTCCTGTTGCTACTAACAGCATGACTTGGTACTTAGGAGCAAGGACTTACTTCTGCAGCCGTAAGGGCAGGCAACTGGCGAGCCCCCCCACCCCCTTGCCTCAGGGAGTTCCACTCAAGTCAATGCCTCTGAGGGAATTTCAACCTCACTAGGCGGATTCACTCCCTTCTGGAGTCCTGCAGGGAGCACCAGGAAGACTGGCACCAGCCCAGATCAAGCCCGACCTACTGATTTCAGAGGCAAAGAAAGAAGGGTGGGAGCAGGGACGCTAACCTCCCAGTACACTGTCATGAGGGCGTGACGTTCTCTCTGCCACCTGCCAGGTCACAAGCTCGAATACACAGACTGGGTCACACATAGCCCAACATATGGTAACACCCTGGCATGAACACATGACTACCTGCTGATCATGAATTCTGGAACGTGAGTGTATTCTATGCCCACGTGAATAGTGACTGTATACACACTAAGTCACAGATACACATGTATATGAGCATACCACATCACGAGTACAGCATAAGTGCTGGGTGTGAACAGACAACACATAAACCCGGAATGTGCATGTGACAGGGTATATGACGAAACATGCACCGTCGTGAATAAAGATACACACTGCATCATATATCTACACACACACATATACACACACACACACACACACACACACACACACACACTGTGTCACGAATCAGAGCCGATTACAGCTTCAACCACTCTAGAGAGTATCTAACGCAGTACACACTGGCTTCGCTGTGAGCCCGTGCAGACACGGTGAGTTTGCCTGGAATGCTGAGGCCCCTCTAGGTTCACCAGGGAAAAGATGGGGGTGATAACTGATGCCTGCTGAGGGTCAGGGAGAGGTTTTCAGAAGGTTTGTGAAAAATGCATATTATAAAAAAATTATATATGGATTTTCTTTTTTCTTTTCTGTATGAAAATAAACTTTAATACCATTTTTCTAAAATTTTTTTTAATGCCAGAGGGCACACAAAAGAGAGAGGATCCCCTCCCCGATGGGACTTGACCACACTACAGTCACGCTTTAGTCCTCTCTCCTCCGCTTCTCCCCCATCAGGATCCTGGGAATGTATGCATACCTGGCATGAGCCAACCGGGCCAGGATTTGAACGTCTGTTGGCCATGTGAGATCTGGCTTCCTGGGTGCAATGTCTAACCTGTCATATGTCACACATGTGGTCTTTGTTTTGCATGTGTCTGAGGATGAGAGGGTCTCTCCATCCTTCTCAGACATGCAGAAGCCCCACCCTTCTGGGAGGACATGGAGTGAGGCATATGGGCTGAGTTACCTGGGACGCCTTTAAAGCTCCGCAGCCTTTTCACCACCTACAAGACAAGCACATGGGCGACACATTGGTCCAGGGATGTACCAGAAGGGGAAGCTGAGGATGTGGACTTGAACCCTCAGCTCAGAACGTAAGCCACAGTCCCCTTGGGGAGAAGCCCGTGGGCCTAATTCGAGGGCCAATTTGCTACTCAGCGGTGGAAAAAACCAGCCATGACAGTCTGGGTGAAGGAGGAAAGGAGGCCTCATACCACTGCCCAAGAACACTACAGAGTAGAGCCATAGGGCCTGGGTGGGGGAGTAGGGAGGTCAGCCATGCAGACCCCAGCACTCACAGGCCTGGACTACAGTCATGGACATCACCAGAGAGACATCACCAGCCAGCCTGAATGACAGATGGGCCCTCCCACTGCCTCCCTTTGGGCCTTGGGAGCCAGGGCCTGTAAGTGCAGGATATCAGAGGTATGGAGATAGAAGAGGTGGAGGAGGTAGCAACAGCAGGAGCTAGAACAATCTTCAGAGAACAGCGGGGACCCCACCTTCTCAATTCCCACCAAGGACCTGAGATGCTGTTCTGACTCATGCCAACCTATGCTGTGCTGTCCTGGGGGACCCCTGTTGGAATCCTCTCTGGACACCAATGGAGGCCTTCAGAAGGGAAGTCCCAGCAGCCTTTGCCCCTCCATCTTCCTGACTCTCCCCAGGCCCTGGCTAACCTGCTTAGTTCTGGTGCCGCGCGAGCCTCCTCCTTACCTTCTTTTGAGACCTCAGGACCTGCGGCACCCAGTAGGGCATTGCCGCCTGATTCCTAGGCACCGGGAGGCAGCCCCCAAAGCGGTGGCATGGGCAGGGGCACCTGCCCACCTTGGTGGTTCTGGGGATATAAAACCGGATCATCTTTTGGATCTAACAGAGAGGAAGGGAAGAGAAGGTTCACAAGGGAATGTGCCATGTTCTGGATCCCTCTGGCTCTAGCCTAGCACCGGGTGGGCCCTGGAGAGCATCCCTCCTAACCCTCGAGGAGCAAGGCCCAGATACTGGCTAAGAGAACACGGCCTCCCCTTCATACCGAAGTGGATGACACAGGACCTCGGCAGCAGGACATCCATGTGGTGCCACAGCAAGATACAGGGGTAGGAGCTATAGTCATGGGTTGTGGCCTCTCAGTAACTGGCTAAGTGCCGTTCTTCTTGGTGCTGCTGCACTAGAGTGAGCAAGACCCTGTCCTGCCCCTGGAATCCCCTGCCCAGCACTGCCCATGAGGATTGTGGAATAGCAGAGAGCTGGGAGAATGTTCCAGGCCAAAGAAGCCTTCCCAGAAGTATCACCAAACCAGGCCGGGGGCTGCCAGGTGAAGATGGGAGAACAGCATTTGCCTGTTGGAGACCCTCCAAAGAGACAAGTACAAGAACTAACTTTACTATGGGCATCCCATGCAGCAATCACTTCTGCTGGTTAAAAGAACCCAATTCTAGGGCCAGCAGGTGGCACAGTGGTTAAGGCACTGGATTCCCACATGGCCAATTGCAGTTCAACTCCTGGACTTGGTGGCTTGCTTTCTCACTTTCCCTCTCCCTCTGTTTCTCTCTGGTGAGCACATGTGCCCTATAGCAAATTTTAAAATGATAATAATAATAAATAAAACGAAATAGGTAATTTAAAAAAAAAAAAAGAACCCAGTACTATTCATGGGGCAAAGTGTCCCATTCCATGGGATTGTGCAAACCAGCCATGGCTGTGCCAGTAATGGATCTAGGGATGATGACAAGGAGATGAAAGCAACCCTGACACCACTCAGAAACATCACAGGTGATGCTGCCGACACTGAGTAGCAGACAAACCAGTCTAGGTCCTGGAGACATGGTTTAGCCACCACACCAATGAGAGAATATTGGCCCTAATAGATGGCAGCTAAAGCCACCATCAGTCAGTCTTCTCTTCCTTGCAGCTGAACACTCCTCTCTAATGAAATCAGAGCCCAAGGAACAAGAGCAAAGAGGAGGCTGGAGAGGCCAATGGCAGCAAGGACGTGTGTCATGTCAAGGGAACTGGTCATTGTGGAGGGGAATGAGCAGCCACAGGGTAGAGACAGGACCAGATTCTCATGTTAAAAGATCATAAGGGCCAGACGACCAAGTGGACAGTCGAGCTAGGGAAGGTAAAGGCAGGGAGGCCAACTTGGAGGCCAGGGCAGTTATCTGGTATCTATCGTCATCCATTCTGCTAGGGGCCACTTTTTCCCTGTTGCTCAGCAACTCATCCCCTGCTGCAAAGAGGCAGCATCACTCCATGGGCAAGTCCTGATCTGCTGTGGACCCACCATGTGACTCAGGCAAGCCGCTATCTTCTTTGGAACTCAGCCTGTCCATGTGCTAAAAAGAAATGATAATACCACCCTACCCATCTTCCAAATGATATGATGACCAACAGGAGGGACTGAGGCCATCGTCACTGCCTAGAATAACATGGCTTAGTCATGCTGGAGGTGCTGACCACCCCTCCCCTTTTTTTTCCAATTACCAGAGGGCACATGGACTCCCCAATAGGATGTGAGCATGCCACAATCCCTTCTCCCCCATTTTTCCATCTTGTTTGGATTTCTAGGCTCACACATACATGTGCCCACATACTCAAGTGTTTTCAAGACTCTGGGAATGCAGTGCAAACTATGGTCAGCCATGTGGGATCTGACTCCCTTAACCACTAGGCAATGGGGCTAGCCCAGCCACTGACCCCCTTGAGAATCTATTAAAAAACAAGAAATGAAACAGCTGCCATCATGATAGATTAGATTAGATTAGTAGTCTACTACTAATAACAGGAGGATAGAATATTTTGAGCAACACTGTACCAATAAATTCTAAAATTTTAATGTCAAATTGTTCAAAAGACACATTCATTCAAGAAGAAATAGGTAACCTGTATTATCATAAAATAAATAAAATTCGTAGTTGGAAACCTTCCCACAAAGGAAGGTTATAAAGCCCACATGGCTTCCCTGGTAAATCCCACCAACCATTTAAGGAAGAAACGATACGAATTTTACACACAGTCTTTGAAAAAATTAAAGATGAGAGAATACTTGCTAACTCATTCTATGAGGCCAGCATTACCCAAATATAAAAGAAAAAAAAATTTACAAGAGAAAAGTACAGACCAATATCCTTTGTGAACACAGATACAAATTCTACACAAAAATTTAGCACATAAAATCCAACAATATATCAAAGGATAATATACAACCAAGTAAGGTATATTCCAGAAAAAGCTGCTTTCGTTCAAGTTTATTTTATTCATGATGGAGAGCACATGTGCTCCAGAGGCTCATATCACACTGTGATCTCCTTCCCCAGTCCTCCAGTTCTTCAGGACCTTGAGCATGTACACAATCACCCAGCTCACAGATGGGCCTGCAGCTTCCAGCCCTGTAGTTCAGTATGCCGCCAACTATGCACCAGGCTGCACTGAAAAAGCAATCAGTTGATGCAATTCATCATATTAATGAACCACCTGTAAAACCAGATGATCATTTCAATAGACGCAGGAAAAACCAACACTGATTTCTAATAAAAGCTCTCAGTAAACTAGGAATAGAAAGGAACTTCCTCAACCTGACCTGACAAAGGACATCAAAACTGACTGTTAACATCACTACATAATGATGAGAAACTAAATGCTATGCCTCTAAGACTATGAACAAGACAAGGATGTCTCCTCCCAACAGTGTTTTCTGTTAACAGTGAATTGGAAGTTCTAGCTTATGTACCAGGCAAGAAAACTAAGTAAAAGGCTAAAGAGAATAGAAATAAATAAATAAAGCCATCTCTGCTTACAGACAACATGATCATCTCTACAGATTCCAACAGAATCTACAAAAAGAACTACTAGTATAAATGAGTTTAGGAATGTTGTGGGACAGAAGCGCAAGACACAAAATTCAACTGTAAAAAAAATCACCTATATTTCTATATGCTAGCAATGAACAATCATAAACTGAAATTTCAAAAAAATATCATCAGAAACAGGAAATACTTATAAACTGACAAAATAAGTGTAAGACCTGTACATTAAAAATTCTGATATATTGCTGAGAAATTAAAGACCTAAATAAATGTAGAGATGAGCCATGTTCATGGGTCAGAAGACTCAGTATTGCTAAGAAGACAATTCTTTGCAAATCAATCTATAGGGCCAGCTGTGTAATGCAGAGGTTAAGTGCTGTGCAGAGGGATCTAGATTCCACATGACCAAAGTTCAAATGCCAGCCCCATCTGCAACATGCCAGGCATGTGTGCACAATCTATCAGGATTCTGACAGGCTGAAGAAATTAAAGAAAAAGAATTTGTGGCATGAGCAGGCCCAGTAGGAAGGTGCTTTCAAGATACATAGAAAGAGGCATTAAACAATACACACAGAATAAGAGATCTTTTTTATTTTATTGCCAGAGGGTGGGTATGCTCACCAGAGAGTGAGAGAGACAAAGCACAAGAGAAAGCATGTAATAGGGCATGTCACACCACAATGCTTTTCCCTCAGTCCTCCTTCCCATCAGAATTTGAGAATGCACGCACATGAGCCCAGCATGCTTTCAAGTTGCCTGGGCTGGGATTTTAACTGTGGCCCACTATGTAGGATCCGACTCTCCATGCACAGCGCTTAACCACTGTACTACAGGGCCAACTTAGAGATCTTTTAAAATATGTATACATATATATATATTGCTCTGTAGATTCCACACAATCCCAATAAAGTATTTTTGTAAAAATGAACAAACGGATTTTAGAATCCATGAAGAAAAGAAGAAAACTATAATAGAATAGCCAACTTAAAAAGAAAAACAAAGTTCGAGAGTGTTAGTTACTCCCTGATTTTCAAGGGTGTTATGAAGTGACTATAACCAAGACAGTGCAGTATTGGTGTAAAGATAGACAATCGGTGGGAACCAGCAGTTAGCGTAATGGCTATGTCGCTGGACTCCCACATAGTCAACCGCGGTTCACATCCCGGACCCGGTGGCTTAAAACTCACGCTGGGCGCGTGTGCGTGCGTGCCCAAGATCCCGAGAGGAGAATGGAGGAGAAGGGATTGCGGCGTGACCATCCCCCCTGGGGGGTGATTTCTCGCTTTCTGTCTCTATGTCTCTCTCTGTCTGTCTGGCGAGCGCACGCACCCTATAGCGAAAACCTCTCCAGAAAAAAAAAAAAAAAAAAAAAAGACAATCAATCGGGGCTAGCTCTGTAGCCTAATACTTAAAGGAGCTGGATCCCACATGGCTGACGGTGGTTTGAATCCCAACCCCAGAGGTTTGAAAATCATGCTAGGCATTTATGTATACATGCCCCAAATACCAACAGGTGGCAGAAATGGAAGAAGAGGTTGTGGTATGACCATGTCCCATGTGGGGATGGGATGGGGTTTCTCCCCTCTCTCTTTCTCTTTTTGCCTCTCCATGGTACATGCACTCACTGGTGATTTAAAAAAAAAAGAGGTAGACAGTAAGGTCAGTAAAACAGAATAGAGTTCAGAAATAGACTCAAATGTATTTGAACAACAGATCTTTGACAAAGGTGCCAAGGCAAGTCAGTGGAGTAAGTATGGTCCTTAGAACACAGGGTACAGGGACCAGGAATTAGCATAATGGCTATGTCGCTGGACTCCCATGTAGTCGACCACGGTTCACGTCCTGGACGCAGTGGCTTAAAACTCATGCCAGGCGCATGTGCACGCATGCCCAAGATCCCAAGAGGAGAATGGAGGGGAAGGGATTGCGGCATGGCCATCCCCCCTGAGGGGTGATTTCTCGCTTTCTGTCTCTCTGTCTGTCTGGTGAGCGCACGCACCCTATAGCAAAAACCTCTCAAAAAAAAAAAAAAAAAACAAGAACACAGGGTACAGGACTAGCAGATGGCATAATGGTTACTCACTGGACTCCCATGTAGTCACCATGGTTCAAGACCTGGACTCAGCAGTTTAAAACTCATGTTGGGTGCATGTGTGTGCATGCCCAAAATCCCAAGAGGAGAATGGAAGAGAAGGGATTACAGTGTGGCCATCCCCACTGGAGGGTGATTTCTCACTTTCTGTCTCTCTGTCTCACCAGTAAGCACATGTGCCCTACAACAAAAATCTCTCTTAAAAAATAAAAAAGAACACATGGTGTTGGAACAATTACAGCCATATGCAAAAATAAGTAAATAAATTTCAATCCATGCCTTATACCACATATGAAAATTAACTCAAAATAGATACAGACCTAAAAATAAAAACTATAAAAGAACTTTCTAGAAGAAAACAGAAAAAAAAATCTTTTTGACATAGGTTAGGAAAAGATTTCTTATATCTAACAGCTCCAGTCTGATCCATTGCTGAGCTGGAGATGGGTGCACTTAAGCAAGACCCAGAAAAGACTGGGCTGGCAGCCAGTGGGTGTTAAGGTAGAGGGATACATGGCAAACTGTGCAGTTCGAGTCCTGGACCCACAGGCTTGAAAAACATACTAGGTATATGCATGTGTGTGCCCAAAATCCCAAGAGAAGGATGGAAGAGAAGGGAATGTAGTGTGGCTATCCCCACAGGGATGCTTTCTCACTTTCTCTCCCTCATGAGCACATATGTTCTACAACAAACATCACATATGAAAAAAGATCAGGTTGGCAAATTGAACATCATCAAAATGTAAAACTTCTCTCTTTGAAATATATGGAGAAGAAAGTAAAAAGACAAGCCAAAGACAAGAAAAAGTAGTTCCAGCCTGGGAGGTACAGAGAGTAGCACACTGAACTGTGGTGCTATAAGCCTCACAGCCGACTGCAGGTTTGTATCCTCAGCACGGTCATGTGTCCCTATCACAAGTGTACATATGCCCAAGATCCTGTTAAGCTGGGGAGCTGTGGGAAAGGGATTGTGGTATAATGAAACCCTGTTGAGGGTACATATCTTTCTCCCTCTCATGCATGCACATGCACTGTAATGAATAAAATAAATAAGCTTTTAAAAATAATTATTTAATTTTATTATAATTATTTAATTTGCTATAGGGCTCATGTGCTCACCAAAGAGAGGCAGAGAGAGAAAGAGAGAGAAAAGAAAAGTGAGAAAGCAAGTCTCCAGGTCTGGGACTCAAACAGCCATGGGAGTCTGGCACCTTAACCACCATGCCAACTGCCAGCCCCAATGCATAAGCTTTTTCTTTTTTTTTTAAAGTTTTTTAAAAAGATGTCAAAAAATATTTATAAATTGAATGTCTGATAAAGAATTTGTATTTGGAATACATAAAGAACTCTCACAATTCAGCAATTTTAAAAAAGCCAATTTTTTTTTAATGGGCAAAATATGTAGACACTTTATCAAGTAAGACATGCAGATGGCAAGAGCATATGAGAGATCCTCAAGATTCTCAGTCCATCTACTGTGACTGCCAAACCAAACTCAGGGGCTACCTGCCCCTCACAGAAATACAAATTGAAACTACAAAGAAATAGATGCCTATTAAATGGCAAAAATTAAGACTGTCCAACCCAAGTGCTGGTGAAGATGTGAAGGCACCACAAGTTCATACACTGCGGGTGTGATATAAAATGGATTAACCACTTTAGAAGACAGTCGACAGTTTTTAAAAGTTAAACATAGACCTACCACCTGATCCAGCAATCCTACTGTGAAGTATTTACCCAAGAAAAATAAAGGCATATGTCTATACAAAGATTTGTGCTACATAAATGTTGATAACAACTTTATTTATAACAGCAAAAAAGTGCAAACAATCTAAATCTCCTTCTGGATAAACTATAATCTATTCATATAATTTAATACTATTGACCAATAAAAGGAATAAACTGAGCGGGCTCATGGCCTAGTGGTTAAGGGAGCCAGATCTCACAGGGCCAAAAGAGGAGTTTAAATCACAGCCCCTGTCGCTTGAAAAACACACCGGGCACGTGTGCACATGTGTTCAAAATCCCAACAGGATGGAGAAATGGAGAAGGGATGTGACAAAACCTCATAGGAGGGCGAGGAGTGCTTTCTCCCTCTCCCTCTCTATCTCATGCATACACTCACTGGCAAAATAGAAAAGAAAGAAAAAATAAACTGCTGCTGCATATAACCATGTGGATGAACTCAGAATAATTACACTAAGAAAAAGAAGTCAGAAAAAAAAACTATTATATGATTGCATTTATGTAGAAGTCTAAGAAATGCAACTGACCCATGATGACAAAAAGCAGACCAACCACTGAGGGGTGTCAGCACATGGAGGCAAAGCATTCCCAAAGGGGCCCAGGAATCTCTAAGGGTGGTGCATATGCACATTACCTCAATTGATGGTGGTGTCACTGGGAGTACACATGTGAAAACTTACCAAAATGTACACTGTACATGAGTGCAGTTTATATGTGCTAATCATACCTCCATAAACCTAGTTTTTAAAAAATCCATTAAAAAAGTAAACTCCCCAAGATATCATTGAAAATATCATTCATATGATACTTATAATTCTGAAGGATGACTGATCCCGACATTTACCCAAACCCTACATTCAAGTCACCTACCTGCTTTTGGGGTCTCAGAGACTCAGGGACCCAGTAAGGCAGTGCTGCCTCAGCTCTGGGCACAGGCAGGCGGCCCCCAAATTTGATCTGGCATTCACAGCAGATGGGCTCTTGGAGAACAGTGCAGGGCCCACGGTGCATCTGATCAAGACCCGGAAAAGGCAAATTGAGTATGAAGCTGCATCTGCAATGTGAGCCAAGGACTCTCCAGAATCGTAACCAGTGCTCACAGAGAGTATATTATGGGGCAGGGACAGGTACCCCAGCTCCTACTGTAGCTCATGCTGAGGCTCATCAGGGTTACTTGGAGGGGTCCCACAGAGCCCACAAACGAGGCATGCTGGGAGGCTCGGCCATTCATTCACTGCTGGTCAATGTGAGCAAGCCCCATGTCCCCCTTTGAAGATGGTGAAGTACAACCCGACAGGCTTATGGTGGGCAAATGTGGCTTTGTGGTCATCTGTGTCATTCTGTAGTTTTACAGTCTTTACTCTGTAAGATCTCACATACTCAAAGGCAGGAACTGAGGGGGCATCACCACATCAAGAGGCAGATGAAGAAACTGATGCCCACAGCTGGTAATCAGGTGATGCCACTGCTGCTTCCAGGGCTCTTAAACCCAGGGATGTGTGAGGAGCTGTGGGCAAGGGTGACTCTGCATCAAGATATCTCAGTATGGTCCCTGTAACCACAGACTTCTATGTCTTGAGGCATCCTCTCGTGAGACCTGGTTTTCTGGATCTACATTCTCTGCTCCCCACCCCCTCTTCCTCCACCACCACCACCACCACAGGGGAATGCCAGGATTGGAAAGAGGTTGCTGAGGGTCTGCTTTCCTTACCGACTGATCTGTGGGGCACACTTCTTCCCCGAAGATTTGAAATGTGCTCTTCCTAGAAAAGAACAGGAAAGCTTAGGAAGTCCTGGGCTTTGTGTAAACTAGGGGTAGGGGGACCCCCTTGGAACTGACTTATCATTTGACCCATAGAGTGAAGGAGATCACCCTCTGATGACATCAGACACAGGCCTGTGCTTGTTAAAGTGCTGGTGCCTAGGGGGTCCTAGGGGTCGCTGGTCATGGAATTCCACAGTCATGGAATCCTGTGTTCCCAGCCAGCTTACTTCAAGCACACTCCAGTTCAACTCATGCTTGGCCAGTTAGGAGAGGCACCATTGCTGCTGTCTGGTGAAACTTTCCAAGGTGCTAGCCACACCACCTATGCTGCTTTACCCGACACCCCCCTGCTTACTGGAAATATGCAGTTTAATATGCAGTTTGGGAAATACTGGGAAAGAATCTCCTTTGCTTTGTCGCTGGGATAACAAAGCATTTGGAGTTGTACAGACTGTGTTATTCTTTCCTCTTCTTCCCAACAAACTGCTAGAATTTTGGTTGTATGAGGTCTCCAGCAGGTACAGATCAAACGCCGGCAAATCGCAGTGCTACAGCAGTAACGCAACACTGCAATGCTGAAACACGCAGGGAAAGTCCTGGTTCATGTCCCAAGGTCTCCCTGGTATAAGCCAGGCCCACAACCCATGTCTGTGATCTTCATGCCAGGCTGACGGAGACTGGGGTTGGATAGTGGTGTGAAGACCCTATTAGTTCCTTCTGTCCCTCTCCTTCTCCGAGAATAAACACACACAATCAAACGCAAGGCACAGCCTACTTTTCCTGGCAGTGATGTACTGAAGGGCTTTGTAAGGCGGACTACGCAAGCGCTTTTGGTCGTTATTACTGAGATTTTATTAGTGTTTGCTTCGGGTCATTGAGCTCAACTTTCCCAGCTGACGCCTGGAAACAGAGGATGGGCGGGGTGCATCACACTGCCCTGCCCTTGTCCTGGGGCCCACATGAATATCAGTCCACACAGCTTGGGAGGGTTGGGCCCGCCACTCCCAACCCGGGAGACCAAGCTGATCACGGAGATCGACTCGTTGCAGCGTCCTAACTCGTCAGTCCAGTGAGACTCAATTTCTGGGACTCTGCGCTCGAACTATCTGGAAAAGAGCGTCTCCTTTCCCGTGGGGTTACTAATCTGCTAACATAGAAATTTCCAGAGTCTTGGTGGTCATCTTGCCTCCGAGGGAAGCCAGCACGGAGGACAGGAAGCGGAGAGACGGCGAGAGAACATCCAGGACCACAGGTCTGGCGCGGCCAGATACATCCGTGCCCGAAGGCCCGACGTCCGGGTTCTGTCAGCCGCCCTTCGTGCTCAGGCGGGTCAGTGGCTCCCTACGGGCCCCCGGGCGGCGGGCGGCTCCGGGCTCTGGAGCTCCCGGGTGAGGCGCCAGGATCCAGGGCCGTACTTGCCTGGCATAATGCGCCCTGGGTGTGAGGGCATGCTACAGCGCCCGCCGGAACCCGGGGGCCCCTGCGAGTGCCCGCGGCCGTTCCCAAGGCATCCTGGCGGGGAGGACGCGACGTCAATGGGAAGACGCCGGCCGGCTCAGGGCGCTCTCGCTCATCCTCTCAGCTCCTGCCTGGGCTCGGGCTCCCGCCTGCCCAACAGACCCGCCCCGCGCCCCGTCCGCCCCGCTGATTGCCCCACAGGGAACCAACCATCACCAGCCTCCTAGGGAGGTGCAGTTAGCTGACGGCTGATTGGTTCCTGGGCCGGGGCGCAAGATCAGCGCGTCAGAGCGGAGCGCGACCGGCCGGGGCTGCTCAGTCCGACCCTCAGACCCCGACAGACTCACCACTTCCGGCGGGTGGGTCCGGGGGAACGTGGTGAGCCCCAGGCAGCGGCTCGGTGTTCTGCTAGGAGAGAGAGGTGGGCGGTCGGTGCGGGACCGGCTGGAGCCTCCTGGTGAGTCCGCCCTGACGCGCCCCGTCCACCGGTTCCCCGAAACCTGAGTCCGCGTCAGGCGGACTCCGCGGCCCCGCAGGCCGAATCTGGCCGCCCTGCCCACCGGCACCCACAGAGGTTAAAGGCCGTGAAAGCCAACAGTCGCCATCCCGGGGGAGCAGGAGCGACTGAAGTCGCCGCGCTCGCCGGTTTCCCCTGCCCGCAGCCTCCCCGCCTCGCACCCTCACCCCGCCTGCACGCGTGGCGCTTGGGCGGTTGCTGACACTGACTGCACGCATTCCTTCAGGGCTTAGTAAAACCCACTGATTGCTGCTCTCATGTTCCTTCAGCCATCGGAACTCTCTTTTCTATTTCTTGGAAATGACGGATTGTTTTCCCACTTGTCGGTATTTTCATACTGATTCTAAACCCTCAGTTAACGTTGATATTTGTCCAAACCATTCCGAGCAGCCCCAGTGCTGATGGTGATGGGCTGGGTACTTCCTTTTTTTTTTTTTTTTTTTTTTGGGGGTTTTTTGGATTGAGGGCTGCTGCGCCCTTTGGTATAGGGCGCATGCGCTCGCCGACAGAGACAGAAAGCGAGAAATCACCTTCCAGAGGGAAGGCCACACCACAATCCCTTATCCTCCATTCTCCTCTCGGGATCTTGGGCACGCACGCACACGTGCCTGGCGTGAGTTTTAAGCCACCTGGTCTGGGAATCACGGTCGACTACATGGGATTCCAGCGACACAGCCATTATGCTAACTGCTCGTCTCAGGCTGGGTACTTCTCATGTGCAGCGTTGGAGCCATAGAACAGAATATACAGGGTGCTGCCGGCCATGCTCAGGCTTATTTGGCCATTAAGGTTGTGCCCTGTGAACAGGCTGAACTCTCCCAGGCATTCTACCGGGAGCACCCATGTTGACTGTGCAGTGCCCCCTTATCTGCTACATATTTCAGATACCTGCCTGTGTAGATAAATAACACTGTCACCAGTCTCTTAATAGCTGATGACAGAATTACCCCAGGATCTTACCATTGGCCTAGCATTTTATTTGTGGCTGGCTCTTTTCCTTTTTTTTTTTTTTTTTTTCCTGGGGGGGAGGGATTTTTTGCTATAGCTCAATGGAGAGAGAGAAAGTGAGAAATCACTCCCCAGGGGGGGATGGCTACGCTGCATCCCTACTCCATTCTCCTCTCAGGATTTTGGGCGTGGATGTACAGCATGACTTGCAAGCTGCTGGGTCTAAGATTCGAACTGCGGTTAATCATGTGGTAGTGCTGTAACTATGCCACCTGCTGCCTCAATGGCTATCTCATTTCTGCCCACTTTGGCTACCTCCATTTTCTTCTTGAGCCCGTTGAAATGTCACATATAAGACAGTTTCATGCACCCCTGGAAGTTTGGACCTTCACCCTGGAAGATTGTCTTGTTTCAGGTCAAGAACAGCTCATTACTGCGCTGCCCAGGAATGAAAAGATTCATAATCCCATATGTGGGATTGGGCACATGGCAACTAGGACCCTCATACAGTGCTTGTGAAATTGATTCCACCATATTGCAACCAGCATTATTTAAACAAATGAATACCCTACAACCAACTAATCCCTGCCCTACCCAAGTGAAGTAAGAGCTTAGGTTCATCAGAAGTCATGAACAAAAACATCCACAGCAATGTTTTTTATAACATCCTCCAAATGGAAATGACCCAAATGTCCATCAGTAGCAGAAAGCTTTTGATTTATGCACATAGAGGAACACTACACATTGATGGAAAGCACACCTGCAGTACACAATACCTGTCCACAAAGAAGCCAGACCCCAAGATGTATATGTCATTCCAGTGTATAATATTCAAAACCAGGAAAGCAAACCCATTGTGACACACGCTGATGATCCAAAAGAGGCTCTGCCCTCTCTGCCCATTGGTGTTTGGGTACAAAGAGTCTGGATTCCAACCCTCACTCTGCCTCTTATCACAAGCAGATATCGGACAAGTGTCCTAACTTTCTGAGCCTCAGTTTTGCCTATAAACTAGGAATGGATATATAGAACCAATCCCAGGGGAGTTCAAGATGATCAGAGCATGGAAAGTACTCACTGAGCTTCAGTCTCAAAGAGAGTATTCAACACGTGTCATCTTGTTACACAAGTGTGGCAGAGCAGTGCTTTTTTCCTCCTTGTATTTCCCTTTTCCCTTCCTGGTCCAAGCAGGAGGTTGACCCACTGTCACTGCCTCAAGAGAGGAAAGCAGGACAGAGAAGCCCACGGCCACCAGGTGTTTCTCAGGCTTTTGTCTCAGGTAGGGGTAAGGAGGAGCATAAAGAGAGTCTGTGAGTCTCGGAGTTTTGGGAACTCAAGCTGAGCCTACAGAAGCTGCTCCATCCCAGAGAACAACACCTCCCCAGGCAGCCTGTGTCAGGGAGAAGCAGGGCTGCCAGGCACAGCTGTGCAGTTTGTCACCAACCAAAACCTCTGGCTTGGGGCTTGCATTTACACTGCACTCAGCTTGCAAAATTTCATACCTGGATACCTGCACCTCTTCAGAGGGGCCACTCTATATGAATTTGCACAAAAGCACATTGGGCTAGTGCTGGCTCTACAGAGAGGCCTAACACTGAGCAGCAGGATCTATCAGACCATAAGGAACCATCAACCCAATCAGATAGGGCAGAGAAGCAGTTGGGCTACTGGGCTAACAAGATTTGTCTGAGGTTTCCAAACATCCAGAAGGGAAGAGGGTGCAACATTCTTTTCCAGACCCTTGTTTCAGATTCAAGATTTCCCAAAGATTTGAAGCTCCCTGTGGAAAAAAGAAAAGGCTTCATCTACTGTAGACTTAAACAAAGACTAAACTCTACAGAGAGGATCTGTGGTTTCTCCTCAATGGAGTTTGGAGAACTCCAGGATGGGAGACAGTGGAGACACTGCTGACTCCACAGAGCTGACTGGCAAGAAAAAAGGTCACCTCCCAGCCCCTAAGGCCCTGTGGCTGGAGAAAGAGCAAGGAAGAGATCCTTCTTTCAGCAAGAACACCATCCTCAGCACTGCCCTAACCCTATCAGAGCAGGGGCCTGGGATGGCTGGACAGAACTACCATGCCCACTCGTTTGCACATTTCTCTGTAACTTGAAAACATTACACACCATGACTAAGCCAAGAAAAGAGCCCAAAATGTGTGATTTTGCTTGGCAGTTGGCTTGTTTCAAGATAACCTTGCCAAATTTGACCCACGACAAACATATAAAAGGGAGTTCTACAAATTCAAATCCTAGGAGTAAAAAGATTTTTTTTTATTTGAGAGGTTTTTGCTATAGGATGCATGCGCTCACCACAAGACAGAGACCGAGAAATCACCGATGGCCACACTGCAATCCCTTCTCCTCCGTTCTCTCAAGATCTTGGGCACGCATGCACACATACCCAGCGTGACTTTTAAGTCACTGGGTCCAGGACTGTGGTCGACTACATGGGAGTCAAGCAATGTAGCATTACACCATCTGCTGGTCCCAAAAGATTGTTTTTAAAATAAAATATAAACTATAACTTTAAAAATCTCCTGGCCTGGGACCAGCAGGTGGTATGGTGGTTAAGGCGCTGGACACTCCTGCATGGCTGACCACAGTTCGAGTCCTCGACCTGGTGGTTCGCCTTCTCACTTTCTCTGTGGCTCTCTCTGGTCAAATTAAAAATAAATGAATGAATAAACAAATAATTATTTCAAAAATCTGACCCTTGGGACCAGCAGGTGGCATGGTGGTTAAGGGCTGTGGACTCCCACATGGCTGACCTCAGTTTGAGTCCCAGACCTGGCAGTTTGCTTTCTCTCTCTGGTCAAAGTAAAATAAAGTTCAATAAAATAATTCTTTAAAAAAAAAATAAAAACTTCTGGCCCTCATTAGAGATGCTTTTTGGGTCTCTCTAAAGTTGAGTAGTCCTTTCCCAGACTGGAGAGGTCTGGGTCAGACTCACCTAACTGCTGCTAACTGTACTGATGTATTCTGTGGGCTAACCACCCCATGGTATAGTGCTCTTTTTCACCAAGATTGGAGCCCTGCATGATGTGATGATCCCCAGGGTGGGTGTCATTCTGAGCATCTCTGCCACCTCAAATCCTTACCCTCATTCCTTGGGATAATTGGTTTCATCGCTGCACCTTACTCTCCCTGTCTCTCCGACTGTGGCGTTTTATAGGTCTCTCTTCCCATGGACGGCAGAGCATCAGCCTCTTGGTTCAGTCTGCTGGGGGGACACAATATCATTGTCACTTTTCCCCTTACTGCCTTCAGATCACTGTAAGAGAGTTTCCAAATGCCTGTCACCATCTCACTCCCAACCCCCACCACTTGTCCCCCAGGACCCATATCCTATCACTTGCTCTGAGATCACCAAAATGTTCTCTAGAAGAGGGTTCCCTCCTGCCATATTTCCCGTACCCATAGCGCCCTGTGGGAGCTTGCCTTCTAATAGAACTGTGGAATGCTGGGAACAGAAGAGAAGCTCCATGGTGACACAGTCTGTTCACCCAAGCTCTGGCAGTCTTTGTTCCCTTCCTGGTTCCTGGAGGGTAGTAGGAGCCTGAGAGGACAGGAATTAGTCTAATTACTCGCTGGGTCCTCCTGGGCCCCTAGTCCATAGTCATGTGTAGTAGTGACTTTTGTGTGATGCTCAGAAGGGCCAGCCTGGCCAACCATCAGGGAGTCCAGGGTGAATGCCCTTCCCTGCTGTTTTTGTGCCCATGTGGAGATAGCAGCTCTGTGAGGTCCAGCCCAGGGCAAGCTATCTGTGGATGGGTCCCAAGACAAAATGTTCACCTCAGTAGCACACAGAGGTAGAAGCTGATCCAGTGCTCAACTCCTCTCCAATCCTAGCCCCACATGTAGCAGTTGCTAGCTCCCCACCTAGAGCACCTACAGCCCCACTGTGGTTCAGACCGGAATCCACGCAGCCTCAGTGGATGTCTCTCCTCTATCGTCCTCACCTGCAGTCCCCCTCAGTATATTATCATAGCCATCTGGGCTTGCTCCTATGGGGCCCAGAGGGCCATAGCCAGGCACCCACACGAGTGTGAGTGCTCGCACACAAATGAGTGCTCATATTCACACACAGATGCACCCCTGTGCAGATGCCAGCTCTGGCCTCATGTCCTACTACGTTTCTTTTTTCTGCCACAGTGCCACAATGTTGTTTGTTGCACCACTGTGGTCTTTGAACTTACCTTTCTCTGCCGGAATTGCTTTCTCCCAAGTGTCTCAGGGCTGCCTTCTCAAGGAGGGCTTCACTGAGCTCCCTTATGTAAGGTCCATGTCCCCACAAGTAGACTTTAGGCAAAGCAGATCGAGAGTTTTCAGATGATGATGATGACGACGACGATGACGGGGTAGGTGGTTGTGGTGATTCGACAATAAGGAATGAGCTGTTGCAGCAGTTTTGATGAATCTCACCATGTTATGCAGTCATGCATTCTCAAGAAAGGATCTCAGTCCCAGAGATGCAAAAACTGGTTGGGGGAGGGACAACGTGAATCTTAATCTCTAAGTATGAAGTGCAATATCAGCAACACCAGTCTCATGTGGAGATACTCCTGGGCATTTTTTCTTGAACAGCGGTAGTTCTCACTACAGTTCCAGGACAAGTCCAGCTCGTGTTGGTCTGCAGAGATCTCTCACCTCACTCAGCTGTGGGAAATCGTGCCAAAGTGATGGAACAGTTCCCTAAACTCTCTATTGGTGACTTAAGCTTTGAAACCACAGAAGGTTTGAGGAAGTACTACAAACAATAGGAGAAGCTTCCAGACTGGTAATACGAGTCTTGCATGCAAAAGATCAAGAGGATTTGGTTTTGTAACTTTCTCATCCCTGGATGAGGTTGATGCTGCCCTGGCAGCAGCTGCTGTTGCTTTTCTAACGTTAAGAAAACTCTTATCTCAGTCATGCATAAATATGCACTGATAATGGCGGAAGACACCAGAGTGAATCAGCCATTTGGTGAGTGCATTGGATTATTTAATAATACTTTACTGTGGAGGAAGGATTGTTAAAAAAAAGTGCCACTGAGACAATTTCTTAGCTTTTTCATTGTTGTTTCTTTCTAGTCATATTTATAAGACCGTAGAAGCATTCCTTCTTTGATAATGTTAAAGTTTCAAGTGACATGTAAAACCTTTTTAAAAATTTTTCTCAGTTTTAAAAAGCTATTAGCCAGGATTATGGTGTAGTAAGACATAATGTTTTTCCTTTAAACAATGTAAGTGCGTGTGTAGAGTTAAACTGTCGGACATGTATGATTTAATAAAATAATTCTAAAGGAAAAAACAAATCGCTGTCTTCTATCACTTGCGGGCTTTCAAGTCACGGTGGGGGAAAACTGGATCCAGTGGTCTTTGTTCTCTTCGTAGGCACACGGTACATGCAGTGACCCTAGGTCCCCACTAGAGGTCATGCTACAAAAGACTTCCCAGACCTCCCCTGAAGGAGTTAAGAGAAAGATTCTGAGCACCTGGACTTCCTGCCAAAGCCAAATGTGATGCCTTCGAGGACAGTGGAGCTAAGCGGCCCCCAGATGGGCGAGGTGGGCGTCATCTGGTGCCAGGTGAGCTGCCCATTAGCTCCTCTTGTCACCTCCGCTCCACATAGTCAGAATGCTGGAGACCCTGCAAGATTGGCATGCAGCCGCCCCCCCAGGCCTGTAGTCTTCCTCACACTACCTTTGTTGCACAGTGGATGGAAAAGAAACCCAAGTCTGGAGACTTCAGGGTACGCTGGGAGGGCCAGTGCCTTCCCATTTCAGGTGAGGCTATCTGTGCTGGCCTACTCATAATAAGAGGCAACCAACAACGAACAAAGGCAGCATCTGTTTACTCAACTAGTTACCTGCTGAGTCTTTTCATATTTTTAATTTTATTTTCATGGCGGGGAGAGAGAGAGACAGCACCCTTGACAGGGCTCACTCTGCCATCTCCCCCAACCCTCCCAGCTAGCTGGTATCGTGGGTGTAAGGGTCTGGCCTGTGCAGGCTGGCCCAGGAACTAAACTCAATCTTCCATATGGCACAGCATTGCCATGTGCCACTGCTATGCCACCATGGCTGGGCCTGAGTGTTTCATGTTCACACAGAACACCTCAAAGAAATGCACAGATGCCACACGCAGTCTGATCAGATGCACATTTCCTGGTGCTAGCCCTGTGAAGCCAGGGGCATCTGGGTGGAGCTGAGGCTTGTGGTGCTGCCCCAGCCGCTCTGATGGCATCATTTTAAGTGACTCGTGTATTATTTGGACGCGTGCAGAGTCAGACATTACCACACGGCTTAGTCCAGGGAAAGGGCCATGGCCCCACAAAGGCCCAGAAACGGCAGCAAACCTGGTAGAAGCGGTGCCCTCTCAGGAGAGCTATTCGACTCAGCAGTGCACTCATGGCCCAGGAGGGAGACACCAGAGCAAAGTTTGCTGTACAGTGTCCCTGGGACATGCAGGGGAACACAGTGGGCATGGCAGTGGACAGCCTGGGTATCACTGTCCTTAGGCGCTATGTCCTGAGAGGATTTTCTCAATCATACAGAAAACGGGTATCAGGATCAAGAGACGAAAAGGGACCGGCAGTTAGCGGAATGGCTATGTCACTGAACTCCCATGTGGCCAACGGCAGTTAGAGGCCTGGACCTGGTGGCTTAAACTCAGGCCAGGCGTGTGTGCGTGTGTGCCCAAGATCCTGAGAGGAGAATGGAGGAGACGGGATTGTGGTGTGGCCATCCCCTCTGGGGGGTAATTTCTCGCTTTCTATCTCTCTGACTCTGTCTTTCTGGTGAGCGCATGTGCCCTATAGCAAAAACCTCCCCCCGCCAAAAAAAGGATCAAGAGACGAAACAGATGTTCATGTCTTGCCATGCGAGCTTTGGCTCTTTTCATGTTCTGCCACATAAGCTACTTTTTTATTTTTTTAATTATTTAATTTTATTATCATTATCTTATTTTTAATTTAATCAGGGAGGGGGAATGTGAGAAAGCAAGCGGTCATGTCTGAGACTCAAACTGCAGTCAGCCATGTGGGAGTCCAGCGCCTTAACTACCACGCAGCCTACCAGCCCTGCAAGCTACTCTTTTTAAAGAAAAATACATAGACCAATGTGAAATGCTGCCTTCCACCCTCAGTGTGACCCAGCAGTTGAAATCATCTTATGCAACTTGGCTTTTTACTGCACATGAATTGTTGAGAATTAAGTGTTGTTTTCACATTTCACAGAAATATTGTGCCTATCACTGATTGAACAGTTGCCATTAACAGTGGTATATGCAGACCTGACCCTCAATCCATCTCCCAAGTGATTCAGGGTAACAGCCCCAGACCCAGCTCCTCACCCATGGAAGACACAGTGCTTCTGGCTATGCCATTGTAACCAGGTTGCAGTGAACATCCTGCATCAGCCCCAGGTCCCTGCTTCAAGTCTCCATGTGTGAGACCCCAGGAAAGGCCTGCTCACTGGGGTCAGTGTCATCAGTACCAATTGTTTCCGTCCCGTGTTGCTGCCAACCTTCCAACACTTGACCATTATCACACCTGCCCATTGTGGCCATTGATGACATGCCTTGACTTTGTTTTCACCCAAACATCCTTTTTCTTTTTTTGGAAAGGTTTTTGCTACAGGGCGCATGTGCTCACCAGAGAGACAGAGACAGAGAGACAGAAAGCAAGAAATCACCCCCCGGGGGGATGGCCATGCTTCAATCCCTTCTCCTCCATGCTCCTCTCGGAATCTTGGGCACACACGCACACGCACCCACACACCCAGAGTAAGTTTAAACCACCAGATCCGGGACTTGAACCACGGTCGACTACACAGGAGTTCAGCGACATAACCATTATGCTAACTGCTGGTCCCCAAACATCCTTTTTCAAAAAGTCAGGCTAACGGGATTAATTAGCAATGGTGCCACTTGGAGAGGATGGGCTGAGGTTTGTTTGTTTGTTTTTGCTATAGGGCATGTGCACTCACTGGAAAGCAACACGAGAAAGTGAAAGCACCCCCTCCTGGGCAAAGGGATATGGCCATACTGCAGTCCCTTCTCTCCCCTAAGGACTTGGGCACCCATGCTCACATGCCTGGAGTGTCTTTCAACCTGCCTGGTGGAGGGCTCAAACCAGAGTTGGCCATGTGGGATCCAGCTGCCTTCACAAATCCACCTTCCTGACCTGATATTTTAGTATTTACTTACTTTAATCAGAATATACTACTGTAGTGAACATCTGTATGGTTACAAGAGCCCTACCTGTACCCACCTCATTCTTGACCTGGCTCAGAATGTGCAGGCTCACATCCCCTGTGGCTCACCACTCCTTTGAAGTGGCTGGTGTGGGTGAGATACAGGACCAGCCCTGACCTGGGTTCTGGGGAATACTTTCAAGGCTCCACTTCATCCATGCGGGAAAATCAAAGCCAAATTTATCAAGAAGAGGAGCTGGGGCGTGGGCTCCTAAGCCATGATGGCCCTGTGGCCTGAGAATCCTGCTTCCCAGTGCCCCACATCCTCCCAAACAAACCAGACTTCTAAACAGGTTTATTTCAAACTGAAAGGAGAAGCACAACCACACAGCACCAGGCACATAGCACTGCTCTTGGATCCTCCCCTGCAGCCTAAGCTGCCCTCAACAGGCAGGGCTTAGGGGAGTTCAAGATCAAACAGTGTGGCATTTTCCTTCTCCAAGCATGTGGTGTGACAAATAACCAAAATTGAAAAAAAAAAAGACTCGGACGCCATTGTGTGTTCTGGCTGGTCTTCCTGAAAACACTTAAGGGTCCAGAAGAACCCATGACCTCCTGCTGCAGCCACACAGGCTCCTGCCTGTCACCCAGCCCTGCCCGGCCAGAAATGACAAGAGCATTCCACCGCCTGGCACAGCGTTGCTCCCGTTTTCAGCACCAGGCACACTGAGATCTCCCAGTGCTTTCTTCTACTCTAGATGATTCTGGGGCTGTATAACCCAATCACAGCCCTGATCTCCTCCCAGAATACAGACCAAGGACAGTCTACAAACACTGGAATTGGTAATGATATGGAGCAACTTATTCTGAAGCCACATGAGAGGTTTCCATAAGTACTCAAGTTAGAACATAGAGGCAGGGCCGGCTGCTGTCGAGTCGTGTTACAGATGTGGTACTCCACGTCTGTCACACACGGCACCGGGGTCAGGATGGAGTTCATGAGCTTCACAGCAAAAGAACAGGCTTTGTTCCTCTCCAAGACTGCTCGCAAGCACTAGCAAGTGACTACAGTGGGCAGCATGAGGAAACCTAGCAGGCCACAAGTTGCACACACCCTGGAGTGGGAGCTGGGGTGCAGCTGGCTGATGGGGGTTGTCTCTGCTATCTGGGATACAGCTGCAGTGGCCGAATTCTCAGTGATGGAAATCTGGTGTGCGAACCCCATCTTTGTGCTCCATTTCATGCAAGGGGCCACTGAGCGTGCCATCCCTGCTTACTGGTCAGGAGGACTCGCCAAGGACCCAGGTGCCTGGTGGCGTGGCAGGGACACTGCAGTGCTGCAGCCAGAGGAGGGGTCCAGGGGCAAGGTCAGGGCAGTGACCATTATCAGGAACAAGGAAGAAAGGCATTTGACCTCACCAGCTTGGAGGCCTCCAGCACACTGCTACTCAGCACACTAGGGGCTGAGCCTGAGGGCCTGTAGGTGGAGATTGCCCACCCATACCGCATGGCCTAAGGCATTTGCAGCATCCTCATGCACACAGCCAGCCCCACTACCATCACCAATGGCTTGTGTGTGAAACCTTCCGAGTAGCAGAGTATGTTCGAGGAAGTACAGGTGTGCTTCCTCATGCCACCCCACAGCAACCTCAGAGCAGCAGAACGGCAGGGAAAGATGGAGAAAGTCCAACACTCTCATCAGGCTACTGGCCACCTGCCCACTTCCAGCCCCACAGGGGCTGAGCCATCCCTCACCTGTTACTCAGATTCCAAACAGAAACCTGTTTCATGCAAACTTGGGCTGCCTTGAGGTTTCAGACAATGACCTCGGTCTTTCAAATTCTCCCCTGCAATGAACAAATAGGTTAGGAGCTCCCTGATGAGCTGGTGGCTGCATGTGCTGAGGGAGCAGCCTGCTGGCATTTGGCTGGCACATCAGAATCTATGCCTGTTCCTTGAACTAGAACCAGGAACTGGCCAGGGATACATCAGAGTGGAAAAAAACAGACACGCATTCCAAACAACGCCAGCAGCCTCACAGCTAATACATGCACATGAGGCCTCACCTTCCTGGAACATAGCTGCTGGCCCTGCCTGGCATCACCACAGGCCACTCCTAGCTGAACAGACCCCACAGGCCCTTGCCCCTGATCAGAGCCAGGGCCCAGGTGAACTGAGCCAACAGCCACAGTTATTTCAGTCATCATTAGTGGAAACTACCCCAATATCAGAAGCAGTTTATATCATTTAGATTTGAGATTTTCCTTTCATCAGAAGTATTCCTCTTCAATCAGTGTGTTCTTCCAAGGCTAAGGGGACACCTTCAGTGGAAATGGGCCCCTTAAAGTAAACCTCAAGCTCTTGATAAGAAATGCATTTTCTTGAGGACAGCAGATGGCATAGTGGTTACATCACTGGACTCCCACATGGTCAACTGCAGTTCGAATCCCAGGCCTCGTGGCTTGAAACTCATGCTGAGTGCACATGGAGAATGGAGGAGAAGGGATTGCAATGTGGCCATCCTCCCCACCGGGGGATGGTTTTTTACTTTCCCTCTCACTGTCTCTGTCTCTCCCTCTCTCCTCCATGATTATTCTAAGACAAAAATCTCTCCAAAAAAATGTATTTTTTCAAGCATTTTTAAAAGAATTATTTATTTAATTTTATTTATTCATTTATTTAATTTGACCAGAGAGACACAAAGAGAGAGAGAGAGAAAGAGAAAGTGAGAAAGCAAACCACCAGGTCCAGGGCTCAAACCATGGTCGCCCATGTGGGTGTGTCCAGCCCCTTAACTGCCACGCCACCTGCTGACCCCCAAGAAATGCACTTTCTTAGTCTGGCCACAGTGCAGCAATGATGTGCTGTGCCAAGGGAGCCAAGTCCTACATAGCCAATGGTTCAAATACTGAGCCTGGCAGCTTTAAAAACACACTGGCCACATGTACATGTGCTCAGGAACTGATGGGATGGAGAAATGAAGGGGGAAAGCATTCTAGCGTGACCAGACCCCATTGTTTTTCCCTCTCTCTCTCACACACATATGCAACCTCTGGCGAAAAAATTTTTTTCTTGATTTTATTTAAACAACAGTGAAACAAACAGTGGCAGCCTATACCCAACCCTCCTTGGCCTTCCTTGGCCCTGAGGCTCCATGACCATAGAAATCATCATTCAGAAATGGTCCCATTGAGCACAAGGGAGCAAGTAAGTGATCGGGCTAATCTTGCAGAAGACCCCAGAAATGGGGACCAGACCTTCAGTCACCCTGGAACCTGGGAAAGTGAGCTGTGTGCTTCTGTGAGCATAGCTTGTGGGGCTGGTGAACCCAGTGCTGGCCCTTCCGTGTGCTGGCCTCTCCACTGGCCTTCTTTCTGAGTCTTGGCAGAACCTCCTGGGCCGGCCAGCTCACCACTCAGGCCACAGAGCTTGTCAGTCCTCGGGTTCTAGGAAACAAAGCACTGAAGCTAGTGTAATGAGAACTTTTTTTTAAGACCAGGGAGAAATTAATCAGGAAATTGTTTCATGGGCCACTCTCACCTTGGTCTCTAGACAAAGGCACCATAAAGCTGTCACTTTCCTGGGGTTCCTTGCCAGCAGGACTAGTCCTCAGGCCAGCCCAGACACTGAACACAAGCAGCACTGGGAAAGCACACTCAGGGCTGTGCTAGCAGCAGGTCAGGGAAGGGGGCTGCCAGGGTTCTGGAGACCGCTGTCAGGACAGGCCCCAGGCAGGCTTCCAGGTGCAGACATTCACACCGCGTGGCGTAGCACCCACAGGAGAGCATCAGGGCTTGGGCCTCCAAGCTGGAGGGTCCTCACAGGTCCTGGTTCCCAGAGCCACCTCTCCATGCAGCTGTGACTCCTTGCAGCCACATGGGAAACTTCAGATCATCCTGTGCAGCCACTGAGGAGAGCAGCTGAGGACGTGCGGATGGAGTGCGATACAGAGAGCTCCGCGCTGGCTGTGCCAGCCGCTCTCCCCACAGAGGGCAGCCCAGAAAGGCACAGGCGGGTGAGCACTTCAACATACCCAGGGCGGCCCACGTGAGCCACTTGCCAAAGCAGCCCCTGCAGCCTGGTGTTCAAGAACACGTGCCCGATGACGGTTCAGGACTTCAGGGCTAACTACAGATGCACCGAGGGGTGGGCGTAAAGGCGACCTGGCTGGTACTGGCTGCTGAGGAAGTCGAGTGGCTAGAACGACAGTCTTATTGTAAAGTCAGAGCATGGCTGGGCAGGCCCAGAGGTAGCAGGGGACTAGGGCTGGCAGGTTGTATTTGTGACATCCCCGGTCACCCGTATTACTGATCCCATTTCCCTGATAAGGAAACAGAACGGGTGAAATGCTTTTATCCAAAATCCAAGTGAGTCAGTAAAAAAAAAAAGGGAATTTAATTTAGGGTCCTGACCTTAAGTCTGATACTCTCTCAACTCCCAGAAGCTCCTTTTCCACACATGCTGGCTGTCCACATCTGCTTCTCTGAGGCCTGCCTCCCTGAGGCCCATGCAGGCCCAGGTCCACTCTTGCTCAGCCTCGCCTGGAGGATAAGGTGGAGCAAGGGCATCTCACACACAACCCACTTTACCTGCTCATGGGAGCGGGCTCTGACCTCCCTGATGGAGGGTCATGCTTTCCCTAGAAAGTGGCTGGGAAGCAGGAGACTCACATTTCTCCAGTTCAGTTTCCAACAGTTCCTCAGAATCAGTTTTATTCTGGTACATTCTTGTCCTTTCTGTAAGACATGCTTGGCTCCCTGCCACAGCCACTCAGAGGTGGCATGTGTCACACTATGAAGTGTCTGGAGGTGGCTGGGCTGGGACCCCAACAAGGTGTGTGTCCTAGTAAAAAGGCCACATTTCCAAGGTATGTGCTGCATCAGGGCCGGACAGTGGCACAGCAGTAAGACATGATCTCTGCGAAGCTGACCCTCGTGGGAAGGTTCAAGGTTCGAGTCCAGACATCTCCCTGGGTAAACTGAGCAAATATGTGCTCGTGACCCAGGTGGGCTAGCTGGGGCTAAGGACAGATCATGGTGGTGGGGACCTGTTATAGGTACTGCCTGTCTGTCTCTAACTCATGGAAGAAAGAAACTTAAAACAAAAAATTAAGAAAGTGCATGCTGCTTCTATTCACAAGTCACGAAGTCCAAGGCCCTGGAACTGCCTTCAGCCGAGACGTGGCCGGTCAGGAGGTGAGGGACTGAATGTTCTTGAGCATCTCATCAAAGGCCTGCGGGGATGGCGCATCTGCGTTGCGGAAGGTGGCCTGGACCCGGCTGTACAGGCTAAAGGACTTCAGCTCCAGCCACACGAACCCGAAGCGATCCTCGTCAAATAGGATGAAGACCCCAGGGGTGCGCTCAGGACTGGTGAACCCATGGCCCGCGATGAGGCCCGTGCCATAAAAACTGGACAGAGACAAGAGAGAAAATGTGAGGAGGGAGGGGACCCCGAAGGTTTATGTTGGCCTAAGTCAAGCACAAGCCACGTTGGACACTCTCCAGACCATAAGGGTCTTGTCACTGCTTATCAGCCACAAGATAAGGGTCAGCACCCAGAGAGTCTGTCTTTGTAGGGGTAGCTCTGGTGGCACCGCCTGGACTCTCCCCTGACAAGGATGGCAAGGCCCCTGACAAACAGGCTGGGCTGGGCTCCAGGTTATTTGGGACAGGGAGCAGGAGGGCTCAAGTCACCCTGGTGGTTGGCCCCCACCAAATGCACACTCTGTGTAAGCAGCCTCTACAGGCTGACTGCCTGTAGTGCTGTCCAAGGCACAAGCCTTCCTGGAGAAGGTCTGCTGTGACAAAAGCTGCAGTCTCTGAGATGGTTACATCACCACATAAACGATTCGGTTATGAGAGACTTAACCTATAGCTGACATTAACTCAGAAAGCAGTGCTTGCAAATATCTGTGCCTTGGAGACCAACATCAGACTGAAATACAGTATACCTTTCTAAGTGCCTCCAACATATCACAGAAGTCAGGGG